CGGGCAGCGCCGCAGCCCGGCCCCTGCGCCAGAGCCTGACGGCCCGCGCCCCCCGCGCGCCGCACTGCAGCGGCTCCTCGGCTCCCCGCAGGCGGAAACCCGGGCAGAAACCAGCGCAATCCCGGGTCCCCCGACGTGAGAGCTCTGCCCAGAGCTGCCAGCGGCAGACGAGGTTTATACTACTTGTATTACATCAGCTAAGCAGTTTCGGGCACAAAGACCCTCCTTCAGGCATACGGAGACCCTGCTCTGCCTGGGGAAGGGTGTTTGTCCCCAAAGCTTGTAAAGACCAATTTTTCCAATGATTTAGCTGGTCTAATAAAAGAGATCACATGTGCCCAAAGAACCTCCTCTGCTTGTGTCCTTAGGCTACAAAGCTGCAACCACACTGGTAAGAGCTGCCCTAAGGCATCCACTCCTAGCCCAGTACCTCTGTGGCTGGCCTTGGACTGGGGCTGCACCAGGCACCCACTGGTGCAGAAAGGCTTCCTTTCCCACCTCCATTTTAAATGTTCGTTTTACTGAAGTCCAGCTTGAGTGCTGCAGGCAAGTAAATCCCAGCTAAAAGTGTGAGCTAGAGCTGCAGTTTCAAGCATCTTAAGGAGATGCAATGAAAGGCAAATAGAAGATGTAAAAAAAAAAAAGAGCAAAACGTGTGCTGACATGTTTAAAATTAGTATGGAAAGTTCAAACCCTGCTACAGAAACAAACAGACTTGGACACTTTATTTACATAAACCAGTCATAAGGCTGCTTCACGCTGCCAGCTAATAGTAACATTACACAGAGGCCTGGTGACACTGCCATGCTTAGAGAAGCTGTGGTGTGGTCAGAGGCCATCCAGTAACAGGAGCTGGACCTCCAACTGGAAATGCTCTCATTTTGCTTTGTCTTCTGGGTTCCCCTATGCTAAGGTGCAAGTAATTCATACAATTTATCTACTTCACAGAGGGTGGATTAACACTTGGTTACTGGGTGCTTCTACAACAGTGGTCATCAATCACAATGGACTGGTCAATCTTACAGTTGATCTGAGGCTGGGGGCACTGAGAGAGGGCATGCACACGCCTCCCCCAGCCCCCAAGGTCAGTCTGTGGGGGAGGGAAGGGATGAAGGACAGAGTGCAGCACAGGCAGGAGCAGGGTCTGGGGTGAGTGAGGCCCAGGCCAGGCCAGGTGGTGGGACAAGCGTTGGCCCCGGGGAGCATGTGCCCCCCACATCTGTGCACAGGGTGGAGGCGGCTGCCGCTGCACACTGGGCTTTGCTCCCTGCCTGCCCAGTGGCAGGATGCACACCGTGTTGTGCGGCTCTTGGGGCAGCAGGGCTCAAAGCACAACATATAGCAGCTGTTGCCTCCACCCTCCCTGCACACAGATGTGCTACCTAGGCCTCTGCTTGTCCCACCACCTGGCCCGACTGGGGCCCCGCTCACCCCAGCCCCTGCTCCTGCCTGTGCCCTGCTCTCCCCCTCACTGCTGGAGCCTTGATTTGCCCCCCCTCCTCCATAGCCCCTTCCCCCACAGACTTATCTGCTCAGGGGGACACCCTGAGCACCCAAATAATTTTTTCTCCCTCTGCCTTGATTTGCCCTTCCCTTTCCCCCTCCCCACACAGACTGACCTGCTGGGGGAGGAGGTTCACAGTAGATCTTGGATTGCTTTTTAACTCAAGTGATCTCGTACTTAAAAAGGTTGAAGATCAGTGTTCAACACATTCATTAATGCAATTTTGCTCAGTGGTTCTAAACCTTTTTTGTACTGGGACTCATTTGTAAACGTCAGTGGTCAGTCCTCACCTCCTGCCTCCAAGCCCCAGCCCCCCCAGTGTTGGTGGGTGTTTGGCATGGGGAGCCCCAAATAGCCCCTTGCAGGCAGGAGCTCTGCCAGCCAGCAAGGGAAAAGCCACGGTTTCCCACATTTTTCTTCTTCAAAGGAGAATCAATTTTTGAAGTTTGTGCCCCTTTCATATACTCTTGCAACCCACTTTTGGGTCGTGACCCACAGGTTGAGAAACACTGCTTTAGGTAATGCACATTAAATCTAGTACCTCCATTGTGAGGTACTAAAGGCACATTAGTCTATTTTAATGTGCATTAGCTAAAGAGCACTTTTTGTGAGCTTTAATGTGCATTAGGAGAAGCTAATTTGCATTAAAACCCACATGTAGACATGTCCACTGGTGTAAGACACCACACCCCACAACCCTACCTTGCCTCCACTTATAGAATAGTTATAACAGAAATAAGTAGGAGTCAGGGAACGCCTACTAGTATCTAAGAGGAGCATGGTGACAACAAGTGATGGCACTGGATGACAGCAGTGGCTGATAATCACAGTAGCACTACTTTGAACTTAACTTGCAGCACACTTCTCAGAAAGGTTAGCCACCCTTTACCAACCAACTTTTGCCTTCCAGTCAGGGAGACTGATGTTGCACATGCTTAATGCATGGTCACAGTAGTATGAATCAAAGTGTTCTCTCAGGCTTGTCCATTAAGAATGACATCATTTCCCAAATGCTTTTGATTTAAAACCAAACCACTCAGCCAGCCTTTTCACCACTTTATCCTGTGTTAGTTGGTCTAGTTTACTATAATACTCCTTCTCTGCATGGCTGCCCTGTCAGATTATGCAACAGATTTCCTTTTAGGACTTGCTTTATTTTGTTTAAGTCATGAAGAACGGGTACCTTGTATCCCCAGAAAAGGGACAGCAGACGCATCCAGTCTGGACATGCCAGTGTGGATTATTTTTGAGACTCATGTATTCCAACCAGACTATAATTTATTCTAAATGGACAGTGTATAAAGAATTAAACAATGTAAACAATGTATCCTGTAAAATCCTTTTTATTACCATATTTCCCTGGACACAATTTGATATAAAACAACCTCCCCAATAATTAGATCCTACACACAGAAAATTTATAAATGTATTATAATTATCCAGGTGTGGAACTGAATTATTGGAGGACCATCTTAAATTCATCTCCCCCCACTACTGCAGGTGGTATGGGGAAGAGGTGATAAGGGGGCAGTAGTGGGGTGCAGGCAGTGCAAGAGGAAGGTAGCTTGCACCTCTCTCCATACCCATGCTTACCTCCTATTATGCTTGCCCCCACCCACCCCAGCCTCAGGCTGCCTTCAATCCCTCCTTCCCCCTCCATGTCACTTCTGGCTGCTGGTTGAGCCGGGGACACAGCAGCAATGCCTGCTAGGTAGGCTGAGGTCCTGATCCTAGCTGGCAGCACCTACTTTGCAGCCTTACTTTCCTTTATCCTACAGCAGAGGCTTATGCAGCAGAAGCTGCTATTACTGTATTTCCTCACTTAAAACACGCACCTCAATTTCCAGCAGCTGTATACAAGAAAAATGTGGTAATTTATTCTGTAATAATCCTGTTTCTTTGTCCGATTCAGTGGTTCTTAAGCTTTATCAGCTAACAACTGTGCTCCATAACATTTGTGAGTTGAGTGGTACCCCATTTCAAACACATTTATTATTGTGTTTACCTCCTTGCACAAAGATCAGGTAGTGTTAGGAGAAGGGGGGGAGGGGGTGGAAGAGCAGCCATGCAGGGACCAGCATGTAGTTACCTCCTTGCAGAAGGCCCAAATTGTGTAATCTCCTTGCAGAGGGCCCAAATACTTAAGATTAACTCTCTGGAAGGAAAAGAGTAATATGTAGAAAAATAATAGTGTTACAACTCCCTGTCCCCACACCTGAAGTTATTATTGTTGCTGTTTCTAAGAATGAGAGAAAATAGCAGGGAAACTTTCCTTCAATGAAAGAAAATGTTGCGACTTCATGGTTCTATAAACTTAACCATATTTGGTAAAGATTACTATGGCCTGCATGACGCACAGTATTTACCATAAAGATTAATCACAGGTTTCCCTTAAGACTCCAAAATTATCTGACCTCTGTAAAAATCTATAACATTAAGTTCTGTGCATTTAAGAGAATTAACTCTGTTTATTACTTAATATATGTTGCTATATATGTGACGCAGTTCAATTAAAACTAACTCTATTCTCCCCTCCCCTCTATGGATTTATTCCTTATGAAGGCAGCTAAGCAAGGATCTTACTACGGCTTATTTGGCATCTTGTCTTCTCTTTGAATCTGGCAGAGGGAGCACCTACGTACAACCCCAGCAGAATGCAGCCCAAATGAGTATCAAGAACCAAGAAGGTAAAGAATAAGTGACAAGGATTTTAAAGTTAGAGATTTAAGTTAATATGTACTTGTGGAAATGCAAATTTGCCATTTTAATTCTGAAAAAACTCAGATTACTAGTATTTCTTTATACTTTACGTCCCAGTTATATTTGGAGGTAACAACAACACTGAAGCAATAGGCAAAAGAACATGATGAAAATCAAGGCAGAAGTGTTGTAATATGCCTTCAAAACAGGCATATTAAACAGCAATCAAGATATTTTGCAAATATTCTGAATGCTTGATAAATGAATCAACATAACTTTGCAAGAATGATGTCTAATAAAACAGCTGCTTGCATGGCTTGATGTTACAAAGCCTATGCAGTGGTGGTAAGATTTGAAGAAAGGTTTTATTGATGAATATTGTAGAACTTATGGCTGGATTATTCAGGGTTTGAAGATTGTTAGCATGTTTTTTTTTTCCTGGCTTGTATTTTGATACCCAAGGCCAGGGTACTGGTGGGGGGCTGGGTAGAGGGGCCACACTGGCCAGTGGTGACTGGCTGCTTGGCTGGGCTCACCATTATCCAGCAGCCTGCTGGGAGGCCTGTGGGAGCACACCCTAGCTCAGAGAACAGCTGAACATGCATGTGGCACCACAGACATGCCTGCTGCAACAAACTGCACAGTTATGCTTGTCTGGACATAGCCACTGTGAGCACAGAAAAGGACCCAACTCACTGGAACAAGCTTCCATAAGAGATACAGTGGTAATATTGAGAGTGCAACTTAAAGCCCTAAAATTTTAAAAAGTTCGTAACAAAGCCCTTCCCTAGCCAACCTTTACATTTTTATGAATTTGCCTAGTCAGTTTGTTCTTCTAACTTTGATACTGAGGTGGCCAGACCCACCTCCCAATCCTCTTAGGTAATGCTTTCCTTAACTGGGAGCTGCAGAAGCAGATATAAATGTGCAAAATAAAGCAAGGCATTGGGGGAGTCCCTGTTCACCCAACCACTACCAGGAGTGACTAGAAATAATGGTCACAAGCTGGCAGAGGGTAAACTGAGATTAGACATCAGGAGGCGCTACTTCACTGTCAGGGCGGCTAGGATCTGGAACCAACTTCCAAGTGAAGTGGTGCGGGCTCCTACCCTGGGGGTCTTTAAGACAAGGCTAGACAATCACCTCTCTTTCCTGTTATGGCAGGGGATCGGACTTGATGATCTGCTCAGGTCCTTTCTGACCCTACTAACTATGAAACTATCTCCTGACAAAGATTAAGAGTTCCAATGTCACCACGCTCTATGATCCTGTTCTACTTCCAGTACTCTAACTTTCAGGACAGGGTTTTTTGTTTTAATACTGCAATAAAAGCTCTTTCCAAACTGTTTTTGGGTTTAAACCAGTTGCATCTTTCAACTACCTGCAATATTGTCAAATACATAAGAGATCCTTCACTAGGTGCGATAGATGGCTTGCTTGAGGTTAAGCATTTGCTCTAGGGGTATTCTGGATCATGCTTCCCAGAGAACAGTGAAATATGTACCACAATTTTATACATTCTTTAAGCATAAGCAATCACAGTCAAGACTAATTTTGCCTTTTGGAAAAGGTTTTAAATCCAGTCAAATCTGTACTCCTTTTTAACTTTTAGAGGTATATGAAGCATTTAGACTTACACTAGTTACATACAGTGTGCTTATGCCAAGTCAAATGGTGACATCACATCTTATTACAATACAGTTTCATTCCAATTTACCTACAAAGGACCACATAAGCTAGAAAAACTAGGTAAAGCCAAAGAGCTTATATAGGTATTTTGTAATATGGAAGGAGGGAGTTAAAAAGTTCGATTACAGAGAAACAAGAGCAGAATTCATCAAAAAAGTAAAAATATAAAATAATTAATGTTTAATTATATTAAAATATGGAAATATAAGCTCCCTTCATAAAGAAAAAAAGTGTCTGCGCAACAGAGAAAGTAGAATGCGGAAATTATTTCACTTGTACCTCTAAGAGGTAATTGCAAGGGAAATTTGTTTTATTTACAAACTTTGCTCCAGCCTTTATCAAGACAGGAATAGAAACATTAAATTTTAACCCAGCTAGCATAACACATTAAGATACCAATTTATTAAAAATAAAAATAGCAGAAAATAGCTATTTATCTAAATGTCCTGATCTTGCAAAGTTTTGCGGAGGCACAGGGACCTGCCCATGCATTATTAGTTGAAGGAGAGGGGTCCAAACTCCTCATTAGAAAAAGACTGGCAAGGTAAGCTGCTCTGAAACAATGGAAGCTTACTCATTTTTATCTCTTGTAAAAGGTACATGGAAAAAAAGTAAATACATTTAAAAAAAAGGTAACATTTTACAAAAGAAGAATTAAATGCAAGAGCCAGCAGGGTAAGAAGCGCCTACTTCTTAGGCTACAAGTTCTGATGATGTCAGCAGAAACTCATGATTCATTACCTCATAGTCATCATTCATTAGAAAAAGGAACATGAAAGGCTTTTAAAATTTATTTTCTTCTATCACACATAAGTTGCAGTATATACATCTATAAACTCCAGATGTTAAATTGCATGACTCAAACAGCAACATGTTATATTACAAATCTAAACATATAAGTGCTTTTAAAGCAGTATTTCCTGACCCTTTTGTAAATGGATGAATAAGCGTCCATTTCCATAAACAGCTTAGATGGCTTGCTACTAGCATACAGCAGTAACTTCTTTTATATGTCCTCCAGACTTCGCTTGATAGCTTCTTGCAATTCTGCATCTTGCTCTGCATAAGAAGATTAGATTTTCAAATTGTGGGTTGGCAACTCATTATGTACATACTTATTGTCAATATCACTTAATGGAGAAATACTTACTGCTTTAAAACTGTGTGCAATCACAGTTAACCTTATCAAGACAGGATGTAGCACCAATAGGTAAGGCAATTTTCATACTATGTATTCAGAGTTCAAAAATGTGCGAAGCACCATTGGCTGGAATGTGCCAATTCTTGCATTAGGACACTATTAGTTAAAGGTATGCAGTAGAGGCATTTGTTATAAATATTAGATTGAGGAACAACAATGAACAGAAAAAGCCAACTATAAAAATAAACGAACAAACTCAAAGATGTGTCAAATAGAAAAGCTTCAGTAAAACAGTCCACTTCCCAGTCAATAGGTATTCTAAGCACAAAATGTGCAATCATAGCAGACACTGTTGCTGCTAGTTTCAATAGCAGGGCCAAGAAATGAGAAGAGAAAGAAACAATGAACTCTAGCTTTTGTAGTGTTCCATCCAAATCAGAAAGAGAACATGGTAAAGAAGTGCAGAAAAGCTGGTACTGCATTGGCCTCTGCAGAAAAAGAAAGCATATCTAAAACTACTATTACAGCTCCTTTTATAACCACAAAACACACACACACACACACACACACACAC